GGCTCGGGTGTCAGGGCGCATGGGGGGACCATCCGCCTACGTGGTGCTATTCTGATCCTCCTCAGCCGTACTTCTTTGTCCACGAGCCTATTTTGTCGCCATGCGCCCCTTTACCGTTGGTGCCCCCAAGTCATGTCTCAATGGGCCATTAATGGGCTCAAAGCCCATCAGGCTTTGGGCTTATATGGGCTCATCTATGTTACCCCAACAGGTAGCAACAATGCCAGTTACAGAAGTTGGTGCACTAATGAAAACACTCATTTATAGTAACTCGCAAAGAGGAAGAGATTGATGGTAATTTGAGAAGGCTGAAAATTGGGATTGTGAGTTGGGAATAGCCGGTCACAGTGATAATTTGGGATTGAAAAAGCGTGTTCCCGTATGTATAATATGTTTAATGTTATACATAAAGCCCATGAAATGGTGCTTAGTTTAGTAGTAAAAAAAAAACTATTCTAAGGAAGTCCCCTATTCCACCAACTAAACACATGTATTTTTCATGTGCTCCAATTTTTCAGGTGGTGCCTGGGACCCAATACAGTTATCCAATGTTTTTTTAACCCATATTCATTTATCTAAAAAAAGTACTCAGCACCTTCAGACTAATATTCAACAACAGGTTGTTGAACAACCTCGACTGCATATGAACATCTCTACTACTAACAAGTTGTTGAACAACCTCGACGAGAATCAGCAGCAGTAGATTCGGGCTAAGCCCGCCTCTGCTTCTTTGTATTCTTTGTACACAGGGCTTGGATTTCAACTCCTTTCCTGTAATGTTTCCTTAATGTTTTAGCATGCATGTCTATCGTTTGGGCTTTGGCTCACTGCCTTCGCCGGCTGTGCGTGTACTCTGTTCGGTTGTGTTTTTACCTTTGTATAAATTAATAAAAGGCTATCACCATTATTAAAAAAAATATTCAACAACAATGGACAATGAAATAGAAGGTTACACATGACGTCCAACAAACAGTAGGCAACTCGTATCCAACTCTCTCATATTAGTATCCCAGGACACCCACCAAGTATTTAAACCCGCCCAACAAATATTTGACTCTTCTTCATGAGAGGAGCTCGTTTCTGGAGGATTTACACAATTTTTATTGTCAAGGACGATCGAGGTCTTGTTTTTCTTCATCTGAGGAGGAGCCTTGCTGCTCGCCCAACATCGTCGGGCACGACTTTACGTCTTCGTCGATCATCATCCTCGACTATAGACGACGACGGATGAAGAAACTCGTTTGCGTTTCTTACCTTAGAAGAGAAGAGAGAAACAGAAGAGAGAGAGAGGGGTTGAGAGAGAAAAAAGTGATTGAGCATTAAATGCACAATCACTTCCCATTTTTTCTTTCCAATTTTCGTTACTTCTCCCTTCCATTCCTCCCTTAATCCCGACCAAATTAATTCTCTTCCCTTCCTCTCCCAATTGTGAGCCCGCAACCACCAACTCAGCTCCATCAGCTGGGCCAGTTTGCCATAAAAAGCCTCCAACAACTCACTTAACTGAGCTAAGAAGAGCCCACCCACCTTATCCCTTAGATCTCACTAGGGGCGACGTGGCCACTATCTGGACCTTGTAATTATCTGCTAACAAAAGTTGGTATACGGTCTTTGAAAGTAATAAAAAATTGGTAGATGGTAATTAATATATTACTATTATGACTATCATCTTTACAATTGTTCTACACTACATCATATCCATACCACCATGACATTTACATAGCATTAGTATATACTACCAAATATTACCATTATGGTATAGACTAATAATAGGTCTAAACTTTTTATTCTAAAATATCAAGGGTTATAGGTATAATATGACCCCCTACTATGTCGTTATATCAAACATGCCCCTCTACTATTTTTTAGAGAAATGTCTATTTTTTTATCCAAACCTTTTTCAGATTCTTTTATATTATCCAAAACTATTAAAATGCTATTAATTAGCCAAATTTTTCGTAATGCATCAAAATATTAGCCATTTTTACGTTATCGTTAATAATTTTGTAACTCTTTTCTTAGTTAAAGTACTAATATTAACTTTCATGTGTCTCTTCCAAGTCAGTATCATGTTGTCAAGTCAATATTACTAACAAAATTGCTAACTTGAAGTTAACATTTGGGTAATTCTTAGTAGTTCGATAGGTTTGGCTAATAAAAAAGAATCTGAAAAAGGTTTGGCTAATAAAAATAGTCATTGTCGTATTTTTTACATCAAACATGCCTCTGTATTTTGGAAAACATGCCTTCTGTTAAAATTCTCATCCAAAAACCATTAACCACGACCAAATTTTGGTTTGGGTGACACAAATGTCTAAAACATCCCTGATTATTTGGTTCTTTTGTATAACCAAATAATTCTAATAATTTCACTTTGACGAGACCTAGAGAAATAAAACAAGAGACAAAACTGACATTTCTCCTTCCATTTGCCTATGTCAGGTCGTATATATACCATGATTGGTGATTTTTTCAATGAAATTTTTTTTTAACAGAATGACATGTTTGATAATTTCTCCAAAGTACAAGAGCATGTTTGATGTAAAAGAAATAGTAGAGAGATATATTTGATAAAATGAAATAGCAAAGGGTGACATATTAGACCTATAACCCAAATATAAAGTCAATATAATTTTAACTGGTATAATTAATGAAAAATTGAATTCTGACTGAAAAGCAAAAGCAAAGAGATTTATTCTCTTAAAATTAATTAGATAAATATTATTATGGTCAATCAAGATGCTCTCCCTCAGCCAGCTGAGTCTTTTTTGTTTCTTTGCAATTTCCGTCGCGCTCACTCCGCTCTATTTATTTAGTATTTAACAGCGGTCGTTGGCCGCATCGCAAAAAAAAGTAAAATAAATATATATTAATTTTTTTTTCGTGGAATCAAGAATAATTATATATTTACTTATCTGCATATAATAATTTATTTAATTTAAAAGATAAGGCACCCTGGAGGTGGGGCCAGCCTGTATAGCGCGGCCTATCTGAATTCCCATTTAGAGAGGACGAGTCGCGTTGTTACTTAACTTACTTTCGTCTTTTCTGATAAATTGAGATTTGAGAGCAAATCAGCGTTTAATGAGAAGTTGAGAACCCAGCTAACTTTTTATTTTGTGTCCCACGATGCTAATCGGATTGTTTTTTCTTGCTAATTGCCAAGTAGTAAAGAGTACGAGTAGTTGAGTACTGAATTATTTGGTACCACATGACTATTTACTAGTACAAAAGTGTGTATTGATAATTGTGTTCTATAAAAGTTAAATAATTTTATTATGTCCTGATCCTTTTTACATAAATATACAATTATCCCTCTTTTTTTATTTGTATTTTCGCTTTTCCCTCTCTCTTTCTTATTTGTCCATCATCTCATCTCCTTTTTCTTGGAGTTAAGCGGGATAGGTTAGGGTGGTTACTCAATTTTGAGTAATCACGGTGGCTACCAACATCTATACCATTCATTATCTTTATTTTATTATATTTTTAAATTAACGATTAAGATTAGATAAGGATAATTTAGGAAATGAAAAACATATCACACCTGATTACTTTATATATTATACTCAAACCCTAATACAACCCCACAACCGCCGCCGTCTCTCCCTTCTCCCACAACCGCCGCCGTCTTCTCCCTTCTCCCTCCTCCCTCCGACCACCCCAACCGGACCTCCCTCCCCCCGATTGCGTCCCTCCCTCCCCTCTCCCTCCCCCCGATGGCGTCCCTCCCTTACCCCTCGCCGCCGCCGCCACCTCAGCTCCCCGCTCCCCTGCCGGCCGCGTCGTACGTCGAGCACCAGAAGGAGACGGCCACCTCAACTCCCCGCTCCCCTGCCTGCCGCCGCCGTCACGATCAGAAACGACGTCAACGTCAAGAAGGAGACGGTTTGGATCGAGGAGGATGAGGAGAATCCCGGTAGTTTCCTCGTCACGCTCACCATCGTCTCTGCAATTGGAAGGAGGAATTCCATTGGAATGGTATGTTTTTTTTTAATGGTAGTCATTTTTTTTCAGTAGTGATTTTTTTTAAATGGTAGTCATTTTTCGTAGTGGTAGTGTTATTGTCGTATTGGTATAGTTTTTGTCGCATTGGTATTATTTTTGTCGCATTGGTATTGATTTTGTCGCATTGGTATTGATTTTGTTACATTGGTATTGATTTTGTCGCATTGATAGTGATTAAATCTGCAATGGTATTGATGTTTTGTGAAATGGTAGTGTTTTTATTTCTTGAATGGTATTGATGTTTTGTGAAATGGTAGTGTTTTTATTTCTTGAATGGTAGTTTTCGTGTAATGGTATAAATTTATTTATGCAATGGTAGTTTTCGTGTAATGGTATAGATTTATTTCTGCAATGGTATTGATATTTTTCAAAGTGGTAGTGTTTGTCTAATGGATTGGTACTGATTTCGTTTTGCAGAAAGATTGAGAAAAATATGGAAAGGAAATCTGGCTGGAGATTACGGAAGTGAGAGAAAGAGAGAATTTTAATTAATAGATTTTTGTAACTACCTTAAATGTAATTTATTAAAAAATTAATTAATATAATTTATTTTTCCATACCCAATTTACCCTTAGTAACCACGGTGGCCACGGAGTTAAGCTGCTAACACTTTTTGGGTTAGTACCATGTTAAAATTATTTTCAACCACTAAGAGCATCCACATCAATAATATTGTTTTTGCAACTGCATTTGTGCTTGTTATTGTTAGGAATGGAACAACAAAAGGAACGAGGTTACCGAATCTGGAGCTGAGTCGCAGACTAGGTCGCTCTCTTTAAGACGTTCGCTGCACTGCCTTCGATGTGCACGGCAGACTATCAACCGGTCGTCTCCAGGATAAAACAGCTCCTCTCAATACTCGCGGTTTTGTGCGAAAATCGGAGTTCTCTGAACACTCTCTCTATTGTGTTTATGCTCATTGTGATGTGTTTAGAGGGGCTGGGGAGGCGGCTATTTATAGGAGCCGAATCCCTAGGAATATACCCTCTTGCTTGGGGAATAAGTCGGATTAATTAAGGAAGATAATTACTTCCTTAATTAAAACCGTCGGTTAAGATAAACCCGGAGGGATTATCCTTCGAATATTCCTTTTCAGTCGATTATCCCTTAGAATATTCCTCAGAATAACCGATTAATAATTAATTATTAGATAATTAATTTCGTTCGGAATTTCTGTAAAAAATATATATGTAGTCTCAAGTGAACCAACCAACCGGCCGGTCGGACGGACGGCGCGCGCGCGTGTGTGTGTGGTGGTCCGTTAGGTCCTCCCTCTCCCACAAAAGTGGGTCACCCCAAGGGGCATGCCCTTGGGAGAGAGGCTCCTATCTTTATACTCATTTCACCAAGTAAAACTACCAATGTGGTAGTTTTTCCACTTGAGACTCTATAGCTTTCAAAGCTATTCATACACATTTCCAACAATACCCCACTTGAATAGTTTTGAAACTATCTCTGAGCATTAACAGTTCCATAAGATCGGGCATAAGCTAAGGTATCGCGAAGATTTGAACCTTAGCGTAGTGGTTACACTTCCGATTTCATAAGGGTGACTCGTAGTCTTGAACCCTATCTCAGACAGTGCAGCACACCGGATCTTTTCATTGAGTTGTGTTCTCATCATAGCCCGTGCGTTTATGGCCATGCACGTTATCCTGGTTTAGTGAACGCTCTAGCAACTTTGTGCCTCCAAAGTTCCATAGGGAGCTGCCCCACTCCCACATTCACATAGGTGAGTCTATCAAGAGTACCCCCAAAGTAAAGTACTCCACCCCACATAGGGTATAGATCTCATTAAGAGTTATTAACTCAACCTCCATTGCTTTGGGATTCATGCTTCACTATGCATGAACATTTCGCATACTACTCATGACTTGTTATTACCCATTGAACCCATTTCTTGGGATCTCCAGTCTATTGGGTCGGGTTACCATCACTTGTAGTCCGTGGTTCGGTAGGCATAAGTCCCATACCCTTGGCGGTATTCTGGACTTTCTCTCTAGGTAATCCTTTCGTCAAAGGATCAGCTAGATTCTGTTCGGATCTTATATGATCCACCCTCACTGCTCCTATCGTTAGGAGTTCTCTTACAGTACTGTGCTTACGACGAATCTGTCGTTTCTTTCCATTATAGAACCGGTTCTCAACTTTAGCGATAGCTGCGGTACTATCACAATGGATCAATACCGGAGGGACCGGTCTTTCCCATAGGGGAATCTCTGACAACAATCCTCTCAACCAACTTGCTTCTTCACTGGCCGTTGCTAGTGCTATCATCTCTGATTCTATAGTTGATTGAGCTAGGATTGTTTGTTTCTTTGACTTCCAAGACACAGCTCCACCAGCGATGTTAAAAACATACCCGCTGGTTGCCTTGGAGTCATCTGATAGGGTATTCCAATCCGCATCACTATACCCTTCTAGTACAACAGGAAACCTTTGATAGTGTATACCAAGGTTTGCTGTTCTCTTGAGGTATCTCATGACCCTCTCTATAGCATTCCAATGCTCTCTACTAGGACAGCTGTTAAACCTGCCAAGCAATCCCACGACATATGCTATGTCTGGTCGAGTGTAATCCGCAGCATAACGGAGACTACCAATGATGCTAGCGTATTCTGATTGTCTTACACTGTCTCCAGTGTTCTTAAATAGCTTTACACTAGCATCATACGGAGTACACGCAGGTTTACAGTCGAAATAGTTATATTTCTTCAAGATCTTCTCTATGTAGCTAGATTGATCTAGAGAATAACCATTTGCTATTCTAGTTATCTGGATTCCAAGCATAAACTTTGCTTCTCCCAGATCTTTCACCTCAAAGCTCTCTTTTAACATGGCTTTTGCTTCATTGACCACGTGAATATTTGTACCAAATATCAACATGTCATCTACATACAAACATATGATAGTGCAAGTGTTATTTTCTGACTTGCAGTAAATACACTTGTCACTTTCATTCACCTTAAAGCCATGTGAGAGAACGAGAGTGTCAAACTTCTCATGCCACTGTTTTGGAGCCTGTTTCAAACCATATAATGATTTGTCTAACTTACAGACTTTCGAGGCATGTTCGGGGATAACAAACCCTTATGGTTGTTCCATATAGATTTCTTCATCCAGATCTCCGTTCAAAAAAGCGGTCTTAACATCCATTTGGTGTACCACGAGATTGTTCAAGGCAGCAAGAGCAATCATTACACGAATGGATGTTATTCTTGATACTGGTGAATAGGTATCGAAGAAATCTATATTCTCTCTCTGCCTGTAGCCCTTAACTACTAGGCGAGCTCGGAACCTTTCGATTGCACCATCAGGTTTCCGTTTCGTTTTTAGAACCCATTTATTACCTAAGACTTTGCAGCCAGGAGGTAAGTCTGTTAGATGCCAAGTCTTATTAGCTTCTAACGATTCCATTTCATCTATAATGGCCTCATTCCAAAAATCTGCATCTACGGAAGTTACTGCTTCCTGCAAACTTTTTGGATCTTCGAGGGTGAATACTGTAGTAAAGTCATCACCAAAATCTTTAGAGATTCTAGCTCTTTTACTTCTTCTGAGTTCATCCTCAGAACCAACACCCCCACTAGTTCCGTTATCTCTAATAGCGGGTAGTACATTACCCCTACTATTTCTCGTTTTAAATGGAAATCGTGTCTCAAAGAAATCAGCATCAATGGATTCTATTATAGTACGAGCATTCAAATCATAGAATCTATATGCCTTACTATTGGCCGCATAGCCAACGAAGACACATTCATATGCTCGACTAGCCAATTTAATCCTCTTAGGATCCGGAATTCTTACGTAGGCCAAACAGCCCCACGTTCTTAAATAAGACAGATTAGGTGGCTTATTCTTCAAGATCTCATAGGGTGATTCTTTTCTATTTGTTTTTGGAAGACGGTTTAGCACATAGCAAACTGTCAACAAAATATCACCCCACCAAGAAGAAGCAGCTCCAGAATTGAGCATAATAGCCACAACTAATTCTGTAAACGTCCTATTTTTCCGCTTAGCTTTACCATTCATTTCTGGTGAATATGGTGCCGTGGTTTCATGAATGATACCATGTGAGCTATAGAATTCCTTGAAGGGATTAGAGTCATACTCTGATCCTCTATCACTCCTAAGTCTTTTTATCTTTCGATTGCACTGATTTTCAAATTCAACCACAAATACCTTGAACATATCAAGGGCTTCACTTTTGTTTTTCATCAAATAAACAAAGCAATAATCAGAGCAATCATCTATGAAAGTGATAAAGTATCTCTTGCCAGACCTAGTTAACGTCCCATCTAGTTCACAAATATAAGAATGAATAAGATCTAAGGGTTCTGATTCTCTACTCACAGATTTATGGGGGGTTTTCGTTATTTTAGCTTGGCTACAGAAATCACATTTATCAAATTCATTCATTGAGAGTTTAGGGATATGTCCTAGCTTGCTTAAATTCTTCACAATTCATGTGTTCACATGACAAAGACGAGCATGCCAAACATTCAAATCACACACCATGTAAACTGAAGAATTCATCTTATTAATTTCGACATTCAACTTGAATATCCCATTACATGCATATCCCTTTCCCACAAAACTCCCATTCTTTGTAAGGGTATACAAGTCTGCCCCAATAGTTTGATTAAACCCAGCCTTATTAAGAAGATATCCCGAAACAAGATTCTTCCTTATCTCTGGAGTGTGCAACACATCCTTGAGCACCATCTTCTTCCCAGAGGTGAAGTTCAGCTCCACTTCACCAGAAACAGCAACCATAGTGGTGTGAGTAGTCCCCAACAACACTTTCTTGTCAGCAGGTGCTTCTGTGTAAGTTTTAAACATAGCACGATTGTTGCATACATGCTTCGATGCACCTGTATCCAGCCACCATCCTTCTGAGTCACCGGTGAGGTTAACTTCAGCGATCATATCTGTGATCATGGCTATCAAATCCTCTTCTGTCAAGTTAACCCTGGCCGCAGCGGCAGGGTTTTGCTTGTTCCGACACTTTTTTGCCATATGACCCGGTTTTCCACAGTTATAGCAGATAAACGGTGGGTCATTCTTAGAGGTTTGGGCCATGACCCTTTGGTTACCTCGAGAGGCACCATTTTAGTGGGGGCGGACCTGCTGGTTCTTACTCTTAAACCCTTTCTGGTTAGGTTTAAGAGCTCTAGGGGTGGGTCGTTTAGCAGTGACGACCATCACCTCTTCTTTCATATCCTGCTTGCGGGACTCTTCCTCAATCCTTAGGCGAGTAATCAAGCTTTCCAGTGAAAATTCTTTGGTTTTGTGCCTAAGCATATTCTTAAAATCTTTCCACGAAGGGGGCAGCTTATCAATAATGCAAGCAACTTGAAATTGATCGTCCAGAGGCATACCTTCAGAGACGATCTCATGAGCTATTTTCTGAAGTTCGTGGGACTGAACTTCGACGGACTTGTCATCCACCATCTGGTAGCGCAAGTAGCGGCTGACAGCATACTTCTTAGCTCCAGCCTCCTCCGTGTCGTACTTCTTTTGGAGCGCATCCCAGATCATCATCGCGGTGTTCTTACTGTCCGCATAGTAGTCGTAGAGATCGTCTGCCAGGCCGTTGAGAATGTAGTTCTTGCACAGGAAGTCATGCTCCCTTTCTTTGGCAGCAGCAGCCCTCTCCTCATCGGTCGCTTCTTCCGGCAGCTCGACGGGCATACTGGTAAGGCAGTGGGCCAGCTTTTTGGTCATCAGGCAGAACTCCATATTTTGTCTCCAGCGACGGAAGTTGACCCCAACGAAGCGAAAGGGTCGATTGATATCGACAACACCAGATCCGGCCATGTTGTTCTGTTCAGTCGACATAGCAGCAGCCGAACGTCTTAAAATTGTTAGGAACGGAACAACAAAAGGAACGAGGTTACCGAATCTGGAGCTGAGTCGCGGACTAGGTCGCTCTCTTTAAGACGTTCATGGCACTGCCTTTGATGCGCACGGCAGACTATCAACCGGTCGTCTCCAGGATAAAACAGCTCATCTCAATACTCGCGGTTTTGTGCGAAAACCGGAGTTCTCTGAACACTCTCTCTATTGAGTTTATGCTTGTTGTGATGTGTTTAGAGGGGCTGGGGAGGCAGCTATTTATAGGAGCCGAACCCCTAGGAATATACCCTCTTGCTTGGGGAATAAGTCGGATTAATTATGGAAGATAATTACTTCCTTAATTAAAACCGTCAGTTAAGATAAACCCGGAGGGATTATCCTTCGAATATTCCTTTTCAGTCGATTATCCCTTAGAATATTCCTCAGAATAACCGATTAATAATTAATTATTAGATAATTAATTTCGTTCGGAATTTCTGTAAAAAATATATATATGTAGTCTCAAGTGAACCAACCGGTCGGACGGACGGCGCGCGCGCGTGTGTGGTGGTCCGTTAGGTCCTCCCTCTCCCACAAAAGTGGGTCACCCCAAGGGGTATGCCCTTGGGAGAGAGGCTCCTATCTTTATACCCATTTCACCAAGTAAAACTACCAATGTGGTAGTTTTTCCACTTGAGACTCTATAGCTTTCAAAGCTATTCATACACATTTCCAACAGTTATTGCTACCTTGATTTTTTTCAATCCAACTAACTTCTTTCAGTTAACTGCATCAATGTAATTAGTTTGCAATTGCATATGTGAGCCAAATTTATTTTTTTAATCAAATAAAATGAAAAACCCAATAAAAAATTATGGATGCCCATGTGGGAATCGCAAATGGGATTGCAGAAAATAATAATTTGCATTATTGCAATTGACACTTCCATCAATGCAATTAAAAATGCAATTACATTTTCATTGTCATGTCACTTTGCAACTTAATATGATAGTTTGATGTGTATCCTCTAAGAATATTTTGTTTGATAACAATTTTAATCTGAATGGTATACCACAATTATAAAGGGAGGAACATGTTGTATCTAAGCCGAAACAATTTGATTTGAAATTTTCTCTGGATAGCCATTCCACCAATATCTTGTCTTGTAACACTTTATATAGCCTTGCTTCCTACATGATGGGGATTTCTGACGTTGGTGTTGAAATTGTTATAATTACTTAGTTTGGGTAGCTTATTGTAATCATCATTTTACGTAAGTTAACCTAAACTAGGTAGGACTAGGTGTACACGTGAGCTGTAACCTAGCTATATATATCCCTCATCTTGTATCGTAAAACCTAAGCTGAATAAGATTGACTCTGGAATAGTCTTGATTCTCAGGGAAACCACGTAAATCCTGTGTTCACGTTCTTTAGTTTGAGTTCTTATCATGGTATCAGAGCCTCTTGTCTAGGCTTTCGGCTGCTCTCGTGTTTCGGCTGATGTACTGTTTCGGCTGCTCCATCAATCTGTGTCTATCTAGGGTTTGGTATTCTTCGGCTGCTTCCCCGTTCTCTTTCGGCATGTCTAGTGCTTGGTCTTTCCGGCTGCTCTTTATTCCTCTCGGTGCATTCTTTTGGTGGATTTCATCGGCTGCTTCTTGTCGTGTGTCTCCGGCTGCTTCTGGTCTTCTTCTAGTCCTTGGCCTTGTTCTTACGTCACTGTCAGGTTTGGTGCCTTGGTTCTCTTTTGTTCTGTTCGTTGGTTCGGGCCTCTTGTTCTTTGGCCTGCTTGGTTATTCTGCTGCTGCTTGGTCTTTTGCTTGTGGGTCTCTCTTTATCATGGCTTCCGTCACGCACGATGCTACTCTTGCTTGCTTTGATGGGAATAACTTCCCTTTGTGGGAGTTTCAATTTCTTACCTTTGTTCAAGGGAAACGTCTACTGCCGATTCTCACCGGTAAGAAGTCTAAACCCCTGGAATCGGATGAGAAAGCTTATGCAGATTGGGAAGCTGAAAATGCACAGGTTATCAATTGGCTTTTGGGTGCGGTGGACGTGCCTACGAGGCTAAGTTTACGTCGTTTTGAATTGGCCAGTGATATGTGGAAACATCTTGTCACTACCAATTGTCAGTCTAGCGCGTCTCGGCAATTTGATTTGGAGTTGGCGTTGTCCGGCTTAACTCAAGGAGATCGTGACATTCGGTCTTATTATCAGAAGGCCGTGCATTTATGGACTGAACATGATCTCTTGTTTGCTTCCTTATCGGCCACACTTGCCACAGCTCAGACAATTGCTAAACGTAGCCGCTCCCGTACTATGACGTTTTTGATGAAACTGAGACGTGAATTCAAACCTGTCCGGGCCTCCATTCTGCATCGCAAC